TAAATATTTCTATTAACACAGGATCTATTATAAAAACGTTAGAGATCGAATCATTCCTTCTGGTACCTACTCCATAAAGGGTCAAAGTTTTGAATAAACAAAACTATTTTCAAATCCGAAATAATCATCCGGTTCTCTTCATACTTCACACATTCCATTATTTTCACTAACACAAGATCTACTATGAAGATGGGATGTATCGGTCAACTCCATCAAGATTTTGAAAAACAAAACGCTCAAAGAAGGCGAAATAAGCATCCAACTCCCTTCAAATTCCACACATACAAACATTTTTGCTAACACAAGATCTGTTGTGAAAATGATATAAATTTGCGAACTCCGAACTTGCTATATCTAAATATTTCTCTCAACCAGAAATCTGCGATGAATATGAAATTTAGGATTTCGCATAAAATTGGATATAAATGTTCGATATTCTCGTAATTTTGCCCACATCAATAATTTTATCTGTACTATATCTGGTACCTCACGCCAATTTTTTCCAAAAAAATTACATATCTTATTTAAAGTGAAGAAAGTAACCAATAAGGTCCAAACCTGGCACGTCTCAATATTTATATCGAATTTATTCAGGTCCGATACGAAATGGATAATATTGAACCAATTCGTCGGAACTGCTACAACTTGAATAATCATAATAGAAATAAAAATATATTTAAATAATCGAACATTGGTTGAGGTTATACATCTGTCATTAAATATCTTTTCAAAAGAAAATTAAGCAATAAATTTCTTAATGTTCGAAAGAGAAATCGAAAGAAAGTAATAACATTCGAAGAACAGTTATCAATTGCCCAAAAGAATCTGGAGCACCCAAATAAAGTTTACCTATAAAAAAAAAAAATAAAAATTCCTTACAATGACCTTGTTTGCTTGCGCAAATCTCATGAAGATGAGTAATATAGTTTCTTGCAATCGACAAAAAATATATAAAAATTACTACCTCCAAGAAAAGAATTCGAGAGGAAAAAAAGTGAAATAAAGGCATGGCAAAGTAATCCCCATGTTGTGATTAAAAAAATTAAAAATATATTTCTACTATGGCCCAAAGCGAATTAAATTTACACATGCATGGCACGTAGAGAATGTCAATGGAACTCTGATGGTAAATAAAACATACATACAATCGCACATTGCAGACGAAGAAGTCTACTTTGATATATCAGATAGATACGGCAGAGAATAGCCTCAAAGCAAATTCCTTTTCAATACTGGCGTTTTTTTTATTTATTTTTTTTTTTTTAATTCGCCAAGAGAAAATTGTTGTTTACTTTTGTTTTGCATAATTTGTTTAGTTTAGCATTTAGTTTTCTTGAAATGAGGAGGTGTTGAAATAAACATTAAATTCACTCATTACGTTCCGCCACATTGAAGTACCTTTACAAAAATTTCTTGGAAATTATTCAGCTACTCTTTTATTGATTTAAACCAAATACAAATAAATTATGCTATGCTATGCGGAGGATTAATTCGTGTACTTTCTATAATTGGCATAGCAAATTGTCAAAATGCCATTTAAACAGCACCCATCATTAATTTCGGGCTCAGAATTGAATTTATTATCGATGATTTTTTCTTTGAGCGATTGAATATGAGATGGGGGAGTTCAGTCAACTTTCATTGTTTGATGGATTATTCATAATTGTCGTTGTGGGTAAATGACTTAGACATTTTGGCAAACAATATTCGAAATTTGGAAATTTATTTACGCAAACACATCTTTGTCTAAGAGAACGTTAATAGCCCAATTTTTGGTCCAATAAACCGAAATTATGACAGGTTCGTGTCTTAAGTCTTTTGTTTTGCCATTACCAGTTACAACGAATGATTTTTGTTTTTCACAAATGTGCTAGCCATGATGTTGGCAATTTTTTCCCAGCTGTTTTAAGTACTTATTTTCTAATTTAAGCTAAAATAGGACCGCTTCTATGTAAAACTCCTAGAGCCAACTATGATTATCTATATTCATTATTTTCAATTAAAAACAAGTTAAAAAATATTAGCCGGTTTTACCAACAGATTTATACCCTCAGCCAATGTTTGATTATTTAAATATATTTTGATTTCTTTTATGATTATTCAAAATGTTGACCCTCTATGGAGTAGGTTCCGAAGAAATGGACCAATATTATCCATTTCGTATCGGATCTTAATATATATGATACTAATATTGCGGTGTGCCAGGTTTGGACTTCATTGGTTACTTCCTTCACTTTATGTGAGATACGAAATCATTTTTGGAAAATGTTCAAATATGCGTTAGCTATAGTCGACCAATTTTCATATGTCATCTAATGCAGATAAAAATATTGGTGTGGGCAAAATTATAAAAAAAATCGAACATTTATATCCCAATTTATGCGAAATCATAAACTCCGTATTAATCTCAGGTTTCTGGTTAAGAGACTGACTTGTTTCGCAAATAATGACAGATAAAAGTATTGGAAATTGTGACCCTTGGTGGGTGAGGTACCAGAAGAGGTTCATAGATATATATCATTTTCACAACAGATCTTGTGCTAGCAAGAATGTTTGTATGTGTGAAATTTGAAGAGACTTGGATGCTTATTTCGCTTTCTTTGATCGTTTTGTTTTTCCAAATCTTGAACGCTATGTGTGGGAGGTACCAGAAGAAATGATCCGATATCTACCATCTTTGTAACAGATCATGTGTTGAGAGATATATTGACATGTGCCAATGGAATCGAAACGGATGTTAATTTTTCGTTTTATGAGCTTCATGGATATTCAAAATTTTAACTCTTTGTGGGGGAGGTACCAGAAGGAGTGGACCGATATATCGCATCTTCATAGAAGATTGTGTGTTATTGGAAATAATGGAATGTGTGAAATATGAAGAGAACCGGCTGCATATTTCGGATTTTATAAACATTTTGGTTATTCAAAAACCCTGGTGGGGGTGGTACCAGAAGAAATGGTCCGATTTCTACCATCATTATAACAGATCGTGTGTTGATAGAAATATTGAGATGTACCAAGTCTAAATGGAATAAGATGTTAAATTCGCGTTTTATGAGCTTCATGGATATTCAAAATGTTGACCCTTTGTGGGAGAGGTACCACTCAAAGGCTCCACATTAAACCGATTTATCCAATATTCACAGCAGATCTTCTGTTAGTAGAAATAATGGTATGTGTGAAATATGAAAAGAACCAGGTGCTTATTTCCGATTTCATATTAGTTTAGGTTACTCAAAACTTTGACCCTTTGTGTGGGAGGTACCAAAAGGAATGGCTCTGTTTTGGAATAAGACGTTATTTAGAAGACTTTTGATAAAAAAATAAACTATTACGCCTTGTACACAAAAATATACGAAACATTTCAAGGGAAGAGTTTAAATTATTATTTTTCTCATTTATTTTTATTTTATTTTTCGGAGGTAGAATAATATTTATGGAGCCTAGAAAAGAGACTTCATAAGGTCATCTATTGAAAGAATACATCTAAAGGGGTTTTTACAACATAACTATCTACAGAAGATTTCCCATAGAAAAGGGGACATCTTTAGGATTTCTGAGGGGAAAAATGAAGGCGGTTGATCCTTAGGAGATTTTTTAACATAGAAGATCGGCAGTTGTTGACCATTTCATCCCCAAAATATATATAAAACATATAATTTCTGTGTAAAACTTCCTAAGAATCGGACTATAATTGAGGCCTGCAGACGAAGGGGCATGCACAGCTAGATCGACTCAGTTCGGATAGGATATAATAGGACAGGACCTACATTCCGAATGTTTCAAACTTTTTTACCCAGTCAAACTTCTAATACCCTCACAGGATAGTTTTGCATTACACTGTGCAACACGAAAAATAATAACAAGCCCGGATTATGAAAGTAGAGCTAAAAATAGGGCGTTTTGAGAGTTAATATCACAGTGTAAGCTAAATAGAGGGTGGAATTTTCCCCTCTTCCACAATTTTGGAAATTTTTGAAAAATGATTTCTTGGAATCCTTGCATTTTAAATGTAAAGTGTGTTCGGTAATATTACCGTTATTTTCTTTTAACAATTTTAACCCCCTAGCAAGTCATCAAAGGGCAATTTATCGTCCTTTTTTCTGATAAAATTCTACTACAGGTCCCAGAAGATACAAAGGTCTGAATCTTACCTAAAGGTTAGGAATTTATGTGTCTAAACAACACATTTTAATGTTAAAGCCGTATTTTGTGTGAGTTTAAGAAAATTTCTCTTACACAGTATTACTTTAGAAAGACGACAATCAAGGCAAAAATATTCTTCATCGAATTTTACTATAAGTCACCAATGAAAAAAAATCTCTATTTCCATTGTATATCACCCAAAAAATGTATGCATCAATATTAACAAAAAAATAAATAAATAATTATAATAAACCCGAAAATAATTCCTAATTATACCCACAGTCACATGACTAGGGAGGGTACATATATCATTTGTTACGACTAAAACGTGACTCATCGTAATAACGGTTTTGGACCCTAGGTCTCTTTGGACCAAATCCGTTTCAGGGCATTTGGAGTCGATCTAGGGGTGTTCATCCGTTCCATTCAGACTTGGCACATTTCAATATTTCCATCAACACAAGGCCTGTTATGAAGATGGTAGAGATGCTCTAATATTCCCATTAAATTTTTTATATAATTATATTTATTTCAATTTTTCTTTATTTTATTTCAACACTTTCAAATTTCGTAAGCAACCATTTTTTTTCATTCAGAATTTTTCCCCTCAGTGTTATTTTTGTCAAGTCCTTCTTTGTCCTTGTCGTTTTGAAGTCTCTTGATGTATTGGATCAGATTTGATTGTAAAATGAATTATTTTTGCTTGTGTTTGTGTCTTAAGTATTTTGTTTTCATTTAGTAATACTTATACGCCAGCGCGGAATATTAATTAACATTTCATATTTTTTGCAGAGAACGAGCTTTAATTAGCTCCAAATGCTCAAAAAGGATTAACCTCATTCTCTCACACTTACCTTCATTTTCCTCCTTGTCTTGCGAATGATTTTCCTCCTTAACTTGTGAAGGATTTTCCTCCTTGTCTTGCGAAGGCTTTTCCTCCTTTCCCTCTGCCACAATTTCTTTTAGAATTCCCTCCTTTTCTTCCACAATCAAAGGCATTTGATCAAATGTCAGCTGCTCATTTTGAGTTTGAATTTTGGTGACAACTTTTTCGTCATTGACATTTGTCAATGAAATGTCAGCGACTTTTGATTCAACATCATCTTTGGCTGTCGTGACATCGCCTGCTGGCTTTTCGTCAATGTCTAGACTTTCAGCCCTCAACGTGCATGCCGAATGCAATAACAACAGCCCAATAAGGCTGATTTTAAACGAATTAAACATTTCAAATTTTATTTATATTTTGTTCTTTTTTTTTTCCTTTGATTGATTTTTATTTATTAAGGATTATTTAAAATTCTCCAAGCATCACCGTTTGTCAAAAATTTATGATTTTATATTTTTGGATGTTTTTGTTTTCCCTTTATTTTCAGGCACTTTTCTGATTTATTGTGAAATTGTCTTTTTTTGATTTTTCTTTATTTTTTTCGTTAAGAAAAAGAAAGAATATTGATTTTTTTTATTAACCAAGGAGACAAAGAATACCGGAGGGCCAGAGGATCTATTCAATTGCCGCTCCAATGGCACCGTTTACGTTCAAGGTTCGCGAGTATCTGCCAGACTGGACGTTGTCAATGTTACGTCTACGGTTATGTATGATCGGTTCTTACGCGCTGCTCCAACGCTGTAAACAGCTTGGAATTGGAAGGCGAAGAAAAAAAAAGTAAAAGATTGCCAAAAGAAAAAATAGAAACAAAAACGTCTTTGCAGAACAAACAAAAGCTGAGGGAGAGTGGAGGTTGGTGGAAGTCTTTGTTTGCTTTTGACGCTCTCACTCTATATATCTCTCTCTCCCAGTTTTGTGGTTTAGGTTCTAAATGAAGCATAATGTTGGCGTACGCACGTCCTAAGGTGGTAGGCTGGCTGGTATAGTGTGATTGTTGTTGCTGCTGTTACTTTTTCTAAAATCAATTACAACAAACTGATCGGTATCCAATGTTCAACTTTGAAATACAAATGATTATCATTATTAGAAGTACACGACTCGTTTTCACTACCACGCACTTGACGAAGAGGGCTTATTGTGTGTACGTGTGTATGTGTCTGTGTGTGGGTCTTTGGAAATTGGGATGTGGACGAGCCAGTGTTTGGATTGCTAATTTTTGTCAAATACTTAACATAGCTGGTGAAAATAGGGACAGAATTGAAGATTTTCGTAAGAAATCTAAAAATGAGTTAATAATTGAAAACAAAAGACTTAAGACATAAACACGAGGGAAAGTAATGTATTTTACGTTGAAGTCTTGTCAAAAAAAAAAAAAAATTGAATTTTCAAATTCGATTCAGAGGGACCAGTGGGGATTAATCGTATGGGGATAATGAATCCCAAATGAAAAAAATCGACTCTTAGGGATTTTTTATGGGATCTTTAGGAATCGTATTATATTATTTAGGAGAAAATCGGTTCATCTGGTGAGGTTCTTTGAGCCAAAGGCTTCTTCTTATTCTTAGACGATTTAGAGAGAACTTTTCCGTAGAACATTCTTAGAATGACCTGTTTTGTATACGACTATACAAGATGGACTTCGTCCTAAAAAAGACCTTCTTAGTAGGTTTTTAGCCATGTAAGACCTTTTAGTAATCGCATTTTCAAACAAAACGTGCGGAAAGGTCTTCTATCCATAGACGATTTCTTTTTCCTTGGCATTTTCCTAAAATGTATGGCAACCAAATTTACGTTTCTAAGGCCCCATAGATTATACTTTTTAAATTGAAATCCCCAACAGATATTTTTAGTGTCACTTGTAAATAAAATACTCTTTGAAGCGGAGTTTGTGTAAACTGCTCCGGTGTATTTAAAAATGTCTTATATTTTTATACCCTCAGCTAGCCATATGGCTAGAGAGGGTATATATTATTTGCTACGACCAAAAATTGCCTCATCGAAAGGACGGTCTTAGACCCTAAGTCTCTCTGGACCAAATCCATTTGAGAACTTTTGGAGTCGATCTAGTGATGTCAGACCGGGTTGGTCTGTCTGTCTAGCTGGTGTGCACGATAACTCTTGAAGGGAGTATCTGATTTGGTCCAAACTTTATACATCGTAATATTATTATCAAACTTCGATCGAGTTCGGAAATTGATAATACATTTTAGTACTTCCCCCACATAGAGCCGAAATTTTCAAAAAAAAAAAAAAAAATGCACAGAGGGAGAAATGACCCTAGGTCTCTCTGGACCAAATCCGTCCATCCATCTGTGCGCCTAACTGGCTGCCTGGCTGGTGCCCACAATAACTCTCGAAGGGAGTCTCTGATTTGATCCCAACTAGATACATAGTAATATTATTATCAAACTTAGATCGAGTTCGGAAATGGGTAATATTGGTCCACTCCTTTTGGTATCTCCCCCACAAAATGTCGTCATTTTCAAAGAAAATAATTTACTGCGCAGAAAGAAAAGGACCCTAGGTCTCTTTGGGCTAAATCCGTTTCATGACTTTTGGAATCGGTCTAGCGATGTCCGTCCGTCTGTATGCCTGACTGGCTGGTGCTCACGATAACTCTCGAAGGGAATCTCCGATTTGATCCAAACTTGGTACATCGTAGTATTATTATCAAACTTCAATCGAGTTCGGAGATGGGCAATATCGGCCCAATCCTTCTGGCACCTCCCCCACAAAAGGTCAATATTTTCAAAAAAAAAAAAAAAAAAAAAAAAAAAAAAAACTGCACAGAGAGAGAAAAAGGACAATCCGATTTTGCTTCAACTTTGCAAATCCTAATATTTTCATCAGTGCTAGGTCGGGTGTGAAAATGGACAATAGCGGTCCACTCCAACTAGTACATTCTTCAACAACGGGTCAAAATTTTGAATATTTTATAGCTGTTATAAAATGCGATGTAGGAGTCCGATTTTCTTAGAATTAAACACATCGCAATATTTTTATTAACCCAAGGTCTGGTATGAAGATGGAATATCTCGGCCCACTCCTTCTGGTATCTCCCCAACAAAAGGGTCAACATTTTGAATATCCATGAAGCTCGTGAAACGAACATCCGATTCCACTCAGACTTGATTAATTTCAATATATCTCTCAAAACAAGATCTTTTATAAAGATGGTAGAGATCAGAAAATTGCTTCTGGTACCTCCTCCACAAGGGGTCAAAGTGTTGAATAACTGAAACGATTAAAAAATCCGAAATAAGTACCCTGCTCCCTACATATATTTCACACATCACAATATTTTTTATTAACCAAAGGTCTGGCGAGAAGATGGAATATATCGGTCCACTCCTTCTGGTACTTCCCCCACAAGGGGTTAAAATTTTGAATATCCTTGAAGCTCATAAGTCGGGAAATTAACATCCGACACCATTCAGACTTGAAAAATCTCAATATTTCTATCAGCACATGGTATGTTATAAGGTTGGTAGAGATCAGGCGATTTCGTATGGTACCTCCCCCATAAGGGGGGATTTTTACCAATACTAGATCTGATGAGAAGATGGACCATATCGGTGAACTCCTTCTGGTACTTCACCCATAAAAGGGTTAATACTTTAAATATCCACGAAATCCGAACTAAGCGTCCGGTTCTTTTCATATTCCACATATCCCAATATTTTTATAAACCCAAGATGTGCTGTGAAGATGGGATATATCGGTCCGTTCCTTCTGGTACCTACCCCATAAAGGGTCAAAATTTGGAATATCCATGAAGCTCATAAAACGCAAAGTGAACATCCGATTACATTCAAACTTGGCACATCTCAATACTTCGATCAACACAAGATCTGTTATAAAGATGGTGGAGATCGGATCATTCCTTCTGGTACCTCCCCCACAAAGGGTCAAAATTTTGAATAGCCACAACGTTTATAAAATCCGAAATAAGCATTCGGTTCTCCTCATATTTCACACATCGCATTATTTTTAGTAACACAAGATTTGCTGTGAAGATGAAATATATCGGTCCTCTCCTTCTGCCACCTCCCCCACAAGGGGTTAAAATTTCGAATATCCTTGAAGTTCATAATACGGGAAATTAACACTTGATTTCGTTCAGGCTTGGTGCGTCTCAATATTTTCATGAGCATAAGATCTGTAAGAAAGATGGTAGAAACCGAACCATTTTCTTCAAATAATGTTTCAAGATTTTGAGGCAGGTAACAGATTTCAAAATGCCCAAAAAAGCATCCCACTCTCTTCAAATTTTACACACACAAACATTTTTGCTAACACAAGACCTGTTGTGAAGATGCTATATATCTGCGAACCCCTTCTGGTACCTCACGCACAAAGGGTCGCAATTTTCAATACTTTTATCTGTCATAAATTGCGAAACAATTCGGCGATTCTTTACAACTTGCTTTATATAAATATTTCTCTTAACCAGAAACCCGAGCTGAATATGGAATTGATGATGTCGCATAGAATTGGATCTAAATGTTCGATTTTCTTCTAATTTTGTCCATACCAGCATTTTTATTTGTATTAGATGAAGGGTGAAAATGGAATACTTCGGTGCACTATATATCTGCTCCATCACGCACATTTCAACCTTTTCCAAAAAAAATATCACCTATTGAAGGAAGTAAGCAATATAGCACGAACTTGGCACTTCCCAATATTTATATCATATTTATTTAGGTCCGATACGAAATGGACAATATTGCCCCATTCCCTCGGAACCTACTTCATAGAAGATCAACAATTTGAATAATCATAACAGAAACCAAACTATATTTAAATAATCGGACATTGGCTGATACTTTGAAAATTGTTTAAATTTAATCTATTTTTGTGTAGCCACTTACCTAATTAATGCCTTAACATTGATTAAACGCATGTTTTCGAATTTTCAACACCTTACCTGTGCAAACTACAACAAACACGTACAAAAAAGTCCGCATCTGACGACGATTATCTTCAGCAATGATAATACACAGCGTATACTCCACTTCAACGAATTCCGCTCATCATCCACTTTTCGTTCGGCTTTGTAGACAACCTGTTTTCATCATTGATTCAACAACCAGCCAGGCTAGCCTAGCCAGCCAGTAGCTGTCTTCAAATCCTAGTTTAAGACTGTTTCTTAACAATCTATAATTTATGTTCGGCCATTCATTAACATACATCCATCCATGGCCATGGTGGGCTGGAGACAGCCAAAAGGGCCAGGTACACATACACTGAGAGAAATCCGGCATTAACTCTTTTTGCATTCAGGATCTTCAAAAATTAAATAAACAAAACACAAATTGTTTTAATTTTGTTATCATAATTATCGCCAGCCCATGGCAAAGTCATTTACCTTTTTTAGGGCCAACTCAGACAATGATTTGTTGAAAAATATTCCAAAAATGTCCGACTCATGATATTTTCGTTGCTACTTTTTTGTAAAAAAAAAGGTTTTTTATTTGTCACAGTATCAATTAATCCTCGTTACGCATTAAGCGATTTAATGCCAGAGGGGAAATATTGACAAAATGTCGGATGCAATTTGAGAAAAGTCGATTATGTGATACACTACAATGGGTGTTCTTACATGGCATTTTAAAAGTCTAAATTTCTACAAAAAAAAAAAAAACTTCACAGAAAAAAAGT